TATTTTTTTTTTCACCAAAAATGACAAAAATATTCACTAAAAATCCCAATTTGCATATTTTGACATAAATTTAACAAATCTGACAGAGGACCACCCCAAGTACCATCTCTGCAAATTAAAGCATTGGGACTTACGGTTTTCAGACTAGTTGTCGAAAATAACATTTTTTACCAAAAATGACAAAATTATTCACTAAAAATCCAAATTTGCATATTTTGACACAAATTTAACAAATTTGACAGAGGACCACCCAACGTATAATTGCTGCAAATATCAAAGCATTTGGAGTTACGGTTTCGGACTAGTTGTCGAAAATATTTTTTTTTAACAAAAATGACAAAAATATTTACTAAAAATCCAAATTTGCATATTTTGACACAAATTTAACAAATCTGACAGAGGACCACCCCACCCCACGTATCATTGCTGCAAATATCAAAGCATTGGGATGTACGGTTTTCAGACTAGTTGTCGAAAATAACATTTTTTACCAAAAATGACAAAAATATTCACTAAAAATCCAAATTTGCATATTTTGACACAAATTTAACAAATTTGACAGAGGACCACCCAACGTATCATTGCTGCAAATATCAAAGCATTTGGACTTACGGTTTCGGACTAGTTGTCGAAAATAAATTTTTTTAACAAAAATGACAAAAAATATTTACTAAAAATCCAAATTTGCATATTTTGACACAAATTTAACAAATCTGACAGAGGACCACCCCATGCATTATTGCTGCAAATATCAAAGCATTGGGACTTACGGTTTTCAGACTAGTTGTCGAAAATAACATTTTTTACCAAAAATGACAAAAATATTCACTAAAAATCCAAATTTGCATATTTTGACACAAATTTAAGAAATCTGACAGAGGACCACCCAACGTATCATTGCTGCAAATATCGAAGCATTTGGACTAACGGTTTCGGACTACTCCATCTAAGAATTTATTATTGCCATTGTCTGGTGGAAGATTTGGTGTATTTCCCAAACCTATGTAAACACAGGTACCTCATTGACTTGGTGGCAGATATCACTGAGAAAGATACAAGGAATAAGGATATACAACAAAGCACTTTATTTTGGAGAGTCACAGAAATTTTGTAGCAATAAACATTTTATTAAAGTTGTACCTTTGCGATGATACATAGACTATATCAGGGTCTTGGCACTACTTTGTCAAATATTTGATTTTATATGAATTGTGGGAAATTATAATAAATGTGCAAATTTCAAAGCTTTTCAGGACATCCAAGTGTGATTATTGTGGCTTTCCATTTGAATGTGTGTTTAAATTTCCTTTGGTAATGTTTTGTGAATAACGTTTCCATAAGTGTCAATTCATAAAGATTTGTTTCTGTTCAAATCATTCCAGGCTTCAGTAATTCAAAACAAGATGAAATCCTTGTGGATAATAATTTTTTTTTTTTTTGACAATCAAATATTTTACTCTGCAGTCTCAACACGCAAATAATTCGCAATATACACCCTCAGAGTGTAGAGTGACAGATGCTAATGTGACCCCCCCCCCACCCCCCACGAAATGTTGATAGTATAAATAAACCATACAAGTATACAACAATACAAACTGTCTTCTCTTTCAATAATTGTTATTATATATACATGTAATGCCATTTATAGATACTTACGCTGACTTAATTGCATTTTCTCTGTCGTCATTCAAAAAATTCTTCTTTCTGAGCATTTATTTCTTCCCTGATAAAGATATAAAATAAAAATTGACCTCTTTAAATCTACAATGTACATAGCATCAGTTCAGTTCAGTAAAAATTCCTCTGGTTTGTATGCCATGGATTCTTATCAGACCTACATGTACACTTAATTCAGTATAAATGAGATTGTGACTGGCTATTTAAAAGTCTGTCTGTTTCCATGGAAACACATTTTTATTTGCTCTTTGTCATTTGTTTGACATGCTCTACAAAATAGGAATATACAAAACTTTGAAATTTTCCACATTCTAAATAGTTTGCTGTTTGAAATGTTGGCAAAATTTTGAGTAATTTGACCAAAAATCAAATCTGAAAGTTGTGACATTTGTGAGTTACACTGATCAAACCTGGGGCATTATTATTTGTCTTTCCTACAATAAATCCCATCATGCATTGCTGTTAAAATTTTACACTAAACACAACCAACTTAGAAGTAAAAAATGTTCAGTGCTTTAAATCCAGTGGTAAGTAAAATAGTCACCCTATGAATTGGAAAGGAAGGAACACAATGGCTATACAAGAAAACAAAATCATAAGATTATTACGCATCCTAGACTCATCTTAATTCACATCTGAATTGAATTATTTTACTTTACTTACTGATAGTACTGTGAAATAGGACATACTTTTTTAGTGAAAACATTGCATCCCAGTCATCCTGTGTTCCACTCTGATAACCCATACCATGTACAACATCAAAGTCTCAGTACACGCCTCCAGAACTTTAAGAACCTCTGGATGAATTACTGGTTTTATAAAGGCTGGCGGAGACACAGAGTGATTCAATTTCAAACTAGAATTGGAATGCACAATGTGATATATGATTTCTGGCTGGTGATGTGACTTCAGACCATGTCTTGCCATGTGCTTCTGTCAATACCTGCAAGTATGAAATATAAATGATTGAGATAAATCCTATCACTTGTGTAGATAATAGACCAATAGAGAGAGAACACAGTGACTCTTTTGTGCTTTCTGGTCACAAATGAAGTGTTACGTAAACATAATATGTGACTCTACAAAAATTTTGAATTTATTTTTATGGTACATAGGTATCCCAGTTGTAGAGTGACTAGGGTGCAGTGTTTCTCTAGCTTTATTTTAATAATTTTTTTTTTCATTTTTTATTTATTTATAAATTCAATAATAAAATTATTTTAGTGAAATTTACCATTCTGAGATACATTTCTTTAAACTCCATGCAAGGGGTAACCTTGGTTCAAGGAGGATTTTGAGAAAAAATCACAAAATATTTTATGATGCCAAATGTATTTTTAAAAGAGACTCTTGGATTATAAATTAAGCAATGCCTCTTAGTGTCATCTACCGTTGACTTTACCCAACAGTCACAAATAAGTCATTGAACTCTTGTGATTAAAACTCACCTTAAATGTACTCTGAATGACCAATGTTTTCCTAAGCATTCTAAACATATCCATATTCCATAAGTAACACTAACCCACTGTGGATTATGACCTTCATATTCAAAACATAACTGTGGAGAAAAAACAAAAACTACAAAAAGTCAATAGTGTAGATTCAAATAACAAATTAATGAAGTCAAGCAAATAAAAACACAAACACTAAAATATTGGCATATATATTTAGAAATTGTTTTTGCCATAATTATGCAAAGGCAGGAAAATTCTTTGGGGTTGAAAACACATCACTGATTATCTCAGGTACTAGAAATTTGAACGATTAAAAATTAAACAATTTCAATACCAACTTGAGAACCCAAAATATTCACTACGTTTACGTTACAGGATCTCGGCACATGTCAAAATTTGTAATCCTTTGTGTTTGCAGAGGAATTACAACAGTTGCGTTCACGTTATTTGGGACCCACTTAGGACCGACTTGGCTCGTGCCAAAATCACGCCTTCACTCGTCGATCTGTTATTTGGCCCAAACATGGAAAACGATACGCATATGATGATAATAATAATTGCTATACTTGAATTATATCCATTTGTTATGGTATTTATTACGAGTCAATTAACAATTATTTTTTAACGTCAATGTAGCGTTCAAGCAAGATCAAGTTTTTTCGGCACATGCCGACTCAGTCCTGACCGTTCACACACAAGTTTCCGTACGTGCAGACTTGGTCCCGAGTCCCGGCACGTGCCGAGATCTCTAACGTGAACGTCATGATTGTCTATGCTGATTAAACCTTTTAATTCCAATGTTGGTGCAACTTTTTGTGAATTTTTCCTATTTTTTTTCTATACTTTGTTAACCAAATGGATATACATGTACATGTAATTTCTAACTGACTTCATCAAAATGTTTTCAAAAAATAACAATTATGCAGGTTTATTTTGTGCAAGTGATAAAAGGTGACTTTGGTATTCAAAGGTTAAAATAAGATTGTGTTTTGTACTTTTTATTTATTTATTTATTTTTAGTTACTATTTTTTTTTAGAAATATATAATTTTTTATTTAAATATATTTTACATACATTGTATGTCACATGAGACCTGACCATACTGAACATGACATAGCTGGAGTGAAAACTGCACAAAAATATAGATACAAATTGTATTAACATGGAATTACCCACATAAATTTACCCATGGCATAAACACAATTCCATATATTTGGCAGTAATAATAATTATTGGTATCGGTACCATATTTGGACATATCCAATGACCTGATGTGTCAATGCATGTTTTTCATTGGTCAATCGTTTGACCATCTATCATATGCAATGTGTAATATTGCAAGCTTCTTTCATAAAATTAGATTTCTAATTTGATGCAACAAAACATGACAACCCATCTGCTGAGTGAAAACCTGGTTCCTCAATTGGATTTTTATGTGCCATTATTTTGGGTTGCTTTTGTTGATATTGTCTAATATTGAGAGACACTTTCAAGGTAAAGGGAAATTCAGGACGATTCATTTGAGATGTTATTAGACTTTATTTTTGTAATCAGTTTTTACTTTCACACAGCAATGAACGTCACTTGGTTAGCGGTGATCACTTATTGGGATACTGACTGTGTATAGGTGTGCAGTATAATGCCGCTAGAAGACCAATTGACCGATAATATTTTGCACCCAGGAAATACAATAAAATTACATAAAAGTTAATATACATGTATCCAATTGATTTTCAAATATTCTATTAATTTACAGACTTGTTATACTGGTATGAGTTTTTACGAATTCAGTACATGGCACTTTGTCTGATGTTTGGTGGCACAGTGTCACTTCGGTAGAAGTTGGAAAGCCAGAAACATTCAACTGCGTCAGGAAAGAGGCATGGCTAGAACTTGGAATTTGTTATCAAATTTGTTTGAACAAGATTTATTTTTTTAATTTTAATTTTTTTTACAAATATCTATTTCAGGGTAACAGAAACCAAAAACATAAATGTAGGTGGGCATTTTAAAGGCACTTTATTTAATGATTACACTAGAATGTGTGGTTTATAGATGCATTCAAATTTGTAATTTTTACATTCTGAAATTAATTTTATAGATTCAAATTCTTATATAATATTTATGCATTAAAGTGGGTCAATGTTGAGTCAATATATACTTCATTAAAACTATTGGTGTATGCTAATTTGTACATGCTATATTGATTTGTATTTCAATGTAAATAAAATGTATACGTCAATAGATACATTCAAATTTGTAATTTATATATTTACATACTGAACTGAAATTAAATTTATAGATTCAAATTTTTTGAGAAAAAAACACACACCACAGTCAACCAGCAAGGATGTTTACTTCATTTTCCACCTTGAGTTATAGCAACATCCCTTTGAGTCTTTGAGGCAAATAACCAATCAAGTGAAATAAGACAGCAGTCATTACGTTTAGTTGATAAGCAGTGATGTCCGCTGTGGTGCTGCGGTGTCATTGTTCTATTCAAGATAGTACCAGGATAGTATGTGGACCCACACACAAAATAATCCTGATTGCAAAATAACAACCAGAAACCACAAAACCATCTGTAGAAAAGTAGGCCTGCACAGAGTGGTTAGTAGCAAAGTTGTGATAAAAAGGCAATCAAAAATATTAGCAATCAAAACCAAATAAAAATTGCAGTGAGTCACTCAGGGAATGCTGGGATACGTACCCAACTTTCAATTTCTTACAAAAAGGTTTGTTCTGGGAAACAAAAAAATGTGTTTTGTAAAGTTAGAGTTGTATTTTGGAAACAAATTTTATGCTGTGAGATATTAAGTTTTGTAAATTAATTAAATTTAATTCTGTAAATTAAATTTGTGTTTCCAGAAATTGTCTTTTGTCAGAAAGTAAAGTTTAATTTTTTTAAATTAATGTTTTTGTTTTTTTAATTCAATTTGTGTTTTGAGAAATTAAATTCATATTGCAGGAAGTAAAACATGATTATTAATTGTGGACCACCGTATGAGTTTGACCCAACCAAGCAGTTGAGTACCCCCCCCCCCCCATTGAACTCAGATCGACTCCCCTGAACAATACCGGTAATAACATCTGAGCATAGTCCCTCATGACAAAGAACTGGAAAAAAAACCTTACCGATTATAATAAAACGCTCACAGACAAACTAAAGCGAAAGCAGCAGCTACAGAACTGCAGCTAAGTCCCTCCACAATGTGACTGTGATCTTAGCAATACATTAGCACTGTGTACAGGTCTGTGATTATGGAGATGGTCGACCTTGTACAACTAAGTATTTTACTCGTACATTTGTTTACTTCTAATATCGAGTATAAAACAGTCATCTTGTAGGTACCATGTAGCGTTATAAAATAGAACCTTACCTTGTTTTGTTTAGTGTCAGTCACTAAATTCCATGCT